ACCAAGGAGGAGAAATCACATATATGTTATTGACCTGTAGATCATCCCGTGAAATAAAGATATGTTTTATTTTGTTTTATAAAATACTGATTCTTAATTCGCTTTATTAATTATATAAAACATAAATCCACCACAACCTCTATTTCAGTTCACCAAGGAGGAGAAATCACATATATGTTATTGACCTGTAGATCATCCCGTGAAATAAAGATATGTTTTATTTTGTTTTATAAAATACTGATTCTTAATTCGCTTTATTAATTATATAAAACATAAATCCACCACAACCTCTATTTCAGTTCACCAAGGAGGATAAATCACATATATGTTATTGACCTGTAGATCATCCCGGCCCACCTGATTACAGGGAGATACTTTATATGTACATTTATGACCTATAATGCATACTACCCATCTTATTAGAAATGTGTAATCCACAGTAAATCCTAGTGGCATTAGTGCAGAGAGTAAATACCTATCTAAAGGTATGATCTGCAGTTCGTATTAAACACCCTATAATACACAGGGACTGTTTCTCTACAAACTATCTATTCACTGTGTACTCCATTAACCATCGTAAATATATGCTCTATCAGCGTTAACTTTTATAGAGATATGCTCTGTTAACACTATTACGGGAGGTAATTCTCTCTATTCTTACACTGCTAAATTAGGGATGGCTAGTACAGATAGCCCTCGTGTAGCTTTGCGCGAGATCCAAAACAAACAAACAATCAGACACCATTATCGAAATTGATAACCTGAATGTTTCGAGCTGACTGCTGTCTATGGGACTTTATGCGAACTAAGCCTCAATGCATTTTCTGCGGTCATTTTTAGTTCATTTCTCTTACAAAAAAATGTATTACTTAAAGAGGTAATTGAAGTGGATAACCTGTTACATTTGAGTCTACTTACGACTGGTTATATTTTATGACATCTTAAAATCACGACACAATTGAATGTTTACATAAAAAAAAAACATTTAAAAATATTATCTTGTAAAATCAAAATAAAAAAAAATTATCCATTCAGATGTGATGGAGAGCCACTAAGTACAAAAGATTGAACTTTAACCATACAATTTTTATGCAGTAACTGAATTTCATGTTCAGAAAGTAACTTTTTAAATTCATTTAATAATATACTAATTTCAACCTGTAACTAAATCTTCAGTGTCTTGACTTTTCCCAGAAGTTGTTAATTTTATATTTTATTTACCAATCTCGAAAAACACACGTGTACGTCTGTATAAAGGTGAAGGAAAACCCGAAATAGAGGAAGTTCGATCACAATTTATTTTCTGACATACAGAGCCCGCCACTATCTCTGAACTCTTCTTGATTTTAGAACAGAGCAACTACGTACACTTAAGCATGCGTTGTAACACACATACAGACTCATTAATACTAATAATTTGTTTTGTTTGTTTGTTTTTTGTAATTAAGCACAAAGCTACACAATTGGCTATCTTTGCTCTGCCCACCACGGGTATCGAAGCCCGATTCTAGCGTTGTAAGTCCGCAGACATTCCGCTGTGCCACTGGGAGACAATACTAATAATAAACGGCCTTATAACACTAAGTTTGTTATTTTCCATTAATTGGACACTTAACGTTCCGCTTTACAGCTTTTTCAGGAGCGTTCCACCAAAGCACAAACTGACAGTACAAAGCTACAATTGGTGAAAATAAATAATAATGCATCGGATAATGAGTTTATCGTGTGTTGCCTAATCTAAATAGTACTTTTAATTATTAAATTGAGATTTTTGTTTAATGTATTTAATTTTAATTCAGTTTGAGTTTATTATGTTTTGATCTATATAAAATATAATAAAGGTTTGAATTTTATATCTATTTATGAGTTTCTGTTGCTTCTTTAATCATTACTTGTTACTAGAGTTTTTGTGTTCTATTAATGTGGGTGTAATGAGGAAAATATTTGCAGTCTATATCTAATACTTTTCTAATTCAGTTTTTCGTTCTTGCTTTTACATTACATTTATATATATTTATACATATGACGTGATGATATGTCTTTTACATTACATTTATATATATATATATATATATATATATATATAT